GGTACAGGCCAGAGATGAGGGGGGTGAGAGCATTCACCAGAGACAGAGTGGGGACCAGAACAGGCAGACTGACTGAAATACACTGCTGAGGAGAACAGCGGGTGAGACAGGAGAGGTCTGCTGCGCCATGTGGGTTTCTCCCCGGCTGGCCGGGAATCGAACTCGTGCTGCAGAGGCCATGAATTGCTTCACAGTGCAGTGCTTAACCCCTTGAGCCACCAGGGAGGCCCTCCTTCTACTTCTTGACTTAGCTTGACAACATACTTTGAGGCATATGCTCCTTAATCTGTTGAGTATAGCAAGAGCTTCAGATGTAAAGAACTTGAATAACATTTAGTTTATCAGCAAAGTTGCCTAAGAAATTGCTTAATATAGTGGTTGCTGAAAAATAGGTACTTTAAAAATCATTAAATTTCAGGAAGTTACTATCCAAATTATATTATTTAGCAAAAATTACTAGATCTTTCTATTCTCTAAGGATTTCATTTTGATTCCTGTCTGCAAAATTGAGCTAGTAGAATAGAATGTTGCTGAAACATGATTAAAATGAGAGTTTGTAGAAACCAGAGATATATTAGCAAGATTCTTAGGTAGGAATTAAATACTTTCTAAGACTGATTAGGTAGTAGTCTAATGAGACTGGGCTAGTCTTGGCTTATAATTAGAAGTCTTAAGCGAGATTTATAGAGTTAACATAGTTTTCTGAAGTGAAAAATGCTTAAATGGAAATGCCAGCTCTGAACTTCTTGCAACATTGAAAATGTAAAATTGAAAAATGTGATAACATTTAAAAATAGATTTAAAAATAACTTTTCAAAAGGTCTTGAATTTGGACATGCTTATAAGGAATGAAAATACAAATCAAGGAGACTTTTCAGAGAGACGGATGATTAAATCATCCCTGCTAAATGTAGAAGGAATATAGAAGTAGAAAATCACCATTCTGCAACTATTATGGAAGGCATTGATTTCGAAGAGCAATCAATGAATGCTAAAAGTTTGAATAGAAATGGGACATACATAGATTATCAAACTATTTCCAAAGAGGTTACTATTAATTACAAGGTGACAAATGGTAATATTACAATGGGAAAATAAATCTACCTGACAGTACCTTATTGAGTCATCAAAGCTAACATCATCAGTGATGGGGTTAACTGAGAAAATCACAACATCATTTATGCATTTATGCAGAAAATGCACAACCTCAATGTAGCCATGTGGAAATGTCAAACAGAGCCAAAGGGACATTCTTCAGTATAAATACTCTGGTACTTTTGAAAAATTTCCATATAATGAAAACAAAGTGTGAAGTACTATTCCAGATGAAGGAGAATATCAAGACCTGCCAACTATATGTGATGTGTGATTTTTCATATGGATTAGAGAAAAAAAATAACCTACTACACTTGATCTTAGCCAAAAGGCCAATAAATGATAAAACCTTACATACAGATTCCCATATAAAAAGCTTACATACATATATATGTATATATAAATGATTAAATCTTATTTAACCTTATATGGAGGCAAAGAAAAAATGTACACTTTATATTATATAGTGATGTTATATAAATGTTATAGTCTTGGATTTGGTAAATGTGCTATGGGTATATAAGAGATTGTCCTTGTTCTTAGGAAATGGGAGGTACTGAAGTTGTTAGGGATAAAGGCACATGGTTCTGCAAACATCACAAGTATTTCAGTAAAAATATTTTGTGATGTGTGTGTCTGTAGAAAGAGAAGGAAGTTAAATATGGTAAAATGATAATGATTGGTGAATATGGGTAAAGAGTTCATATATTTTCTAGTCTTCCAATTCTGTAAGTTTGAAACTACTTTAATATAAAAAACTAAAGAAAAACGTAAATGATGTTTAATCACCTATTCAAGGAAAGGCATCCTTTTCTGCTTGAGTCACTCCGATGGAACAGAAACCACTTGACAGTGCCAAAGTGAAACTGTGGACCCCATGAGACAGAATTGGTTGTAGAGTTGGTAGATGAATTTGCAGTATTATATAACAGTATAATTCAGTAAAGAGTGTTTGTTACAGGACAGGGAGAGGGGCAGCCGAAACCCTGCAAACCTGCCTATTCTAAATAGGTTCTGCCATCTGCTGCATCAACACAAAACATATGAGACTTTAATGGGAAGGAACTTTAATAAAATTAGGAAACAATACAGGAAAGGCAGAGTCTAGTTTCTAAATGAAGCACCCAAAGTTACCTTGTGGGTAAAAGTCCATCCATATGGGATCGGCCCAGAGCAAGGCCCCAAGGCCTGCCACAAGTCTAAAGCATCTTCCATTGGGGACCCACAGAAAAGGGTCACAAACAACCAGACAAGCCCGGAAGGAAAAGAGCAAAATCAACATCAAGATAAAAGCTGCCATGGTCACCTCCCCACGGGTCTCACCCACATCTGTGTCACCCAGTCCACGACCAAAAGACAAGCGCAGTTTCTTCACATGTCTCTAGGCTCCATGCGCCTCCTGCAGGTCTCCTGGCTCCATCCTGCTTCCTTCCTCAGTCTCCTCTGCAGCTTCTTCTCTCCCTGCTCAGCTCCACCCTCCCGTGGGTGGGGCAGGGAACCTGGAACCTCCCCCTTTCCTGGGGACCACCCTGTTACAGGCTGAGTTCTTTATAACTATCCCAAAATACCTTTACCTTCTATGGATAATTCAGTTCATTTTATAAACAGGGGTCTTACTTCATGTGAGGAACTTTGCTTGGTGCTGGGGCTCCAGTTCTCCTATTCTCTGGTTCCTGGCAGCTATCAAAACAAATTTAATATGCAAAATAAAAATAAACATAAACATAGGGCCTCCCTGGTGGCTCAGGGGTTAAAGTCAGTGCTATCAAGCTATCTTCAGCCACCGCAACTGAGTTCAATGCCCAGCCAGGGAGCCGACCAACATGGTGCAGCAGACCTCTCCTGTCTCTCCCACTGCTCCCCTCAGCAGTGTATTTCAGTGAATCTGCCTGTTCTGGTCCCCACTCTGTCTCTGGTGAATCCTCTCACTCCCCCCACCCCTGGCCTGCACCCCAGGCCTGCACCCCAGTTTTTGTATGCATAAGTAAAAATAAATCTTAAAAAAAAACAAACATAGAGAAAAAATTAGCATGGGACACAATAATTAAGACAGTATGAGGAGAAAGGATGGTGTGGTACAGGGGATAGAATGAGGCCCAGGAGTTTTCCACTTGATGGGGGGTAAGAAGTTATGAGCAGGAGAGATTCAAGGCCAAGGGAGCAGTAAGGGCAGAGGCAGGAGATAGAAGGTAGCCGAGGAACAATTTGGTATTCCTTAAATGTGACATGGATTTTTGATTTTCAATTTGTAAAAACAAAAAGTTAGTTTTCAGTTTAGTCATGGTTCAGTTATGAATATAAGATCATAAAATAGCATAAAATAAAACCATATATTCATGCAATACAATTTTATTAATAAACTCTTTTTTATTTTGTATGACAAGGCTTCTCATTTTTCAGTTGGAATTCCTCCTTTAACCTTTGTCTGTGCTGGTTGTACTTGTTGCATTTTCGTCAAATTTGAATAACATATGGGAATTTTTTAGGGGCAGACGTTCCCAACAGTCATATCTTTAGATACTTAGTGATGGATGGATCTCAGTTTGAGAAACACTGCATTAAGGAATTAATATCTAATTTTATAAAAATATCTTTCAAATATAAACTACTACTATAAAATATTTTATTTTTAATAGCCAAATTGTTTTGGATTATCAAAATGCAAATAAATGAAACAAACTTCAAACAAATGTGCAATATTTCAATCAGAAGCTTAATATTGTTGAGATAAAAGATTTAAAGATTTTTAAGTAATAGATCCCAGCACCCACAAGTATGTGGGCAAAGATCTCAAATAACACTTACAAAAGATGAAATAAAAATGACTAATAGGTATTTAAAACATTCACCTTCAATAATAACCAAAAAAGCAATACAAAATGAGATACCATTTTGTCTATAAAATTAGGAGGTTTTTAAAAGTCAGCATAATCTTCAGTATAATCTTCATCAACTTTCAGTTGATGAAGATTTTTACTAATAGAAAAAAATGCAAGCAATTTTATTATTCAATAGTGTCCCAATAGTTAAAAGTAAAATATGCATTGATGCAGTATGACGTTTCTTGTGATCAAAATTATGTTTGTGAAAATTTTTAAATAATAGAAATGTTTATGCTATCATATTAAAATTGAAAGACTGAACAAAAAGTATGACTGCAATCTTGGTAAAATATACATGGAGGATTTCAATAATTGTACCATGGTATTGGAAGATGTTAACAGGAGAGACTGGGTAAAGAAGTATACAAGAAGTTTGGACTATTTTGCAACTTTTCTGTAAGTCTAAAATGATTTCAAAATGAAAAGCTAAAAAACATACATAGGAAAATGACAGAAAAGATAAATATTTAGCAGTGATTTTGACATGCAAAATTGAATAGTTTTTTTCCCCTGTTCTTTAAAAATATTTTTCTGCAACAAATTTTTAGAAGGAGTTATGTGCTGTATAACCATTCAAATATCCTATAATTAAAGAAAAAAGCTAAGCTCAAAAAAAATGCCATCTATCACAAAGAGTTTGATCAGTGAGTCAGCTAAACATAAAAACATAAATGTGAGTTCTGAAAAACGGTGGAAGTCAAGATAGAGATGACGACTGCTTAGAGATGCCTTTTCCAGTGGATGTGAAGTGTAAGAGTAGATAATAAAAAACAAGAACTAAGATAGAGTTAGGAGACTGTAACATTGAGAATTTCATTTTCGTAATGAAGAAGAGAACAAGGTATTTTCTAAAGAGAGTAGATATCTGTAGTGCTTTATGATGGAATAGAGTTAAGCTAATGTTATGATTTTTAAGGGAGCATAAATCATAGTAGACTGTGGGTGTATTCCCATAAGGTTGGTTTTTAATAAGTAAAAATCATTTGCTTTAGATAACTGTATTCATACTTGTTTTTATCACAGACTCCTTTCTAAGCAACTCAACTTTGCGGTGATTCAGGTCGTCTTCTGAAGAGACAGACTCTTATCTTAATGAGTAACAAAGGTAATCAACTAAAATTAAGTCCCTCTTGATATGGACTGTTGTATAAAATATTCCTGTTTGTTCAATATTAAGTAAGGACAAGTTGAAAAATGATAATATACTATGGTATCATTAGGAGCTGCACCTGGAGAACAGAATTCTGTTGGACTTTGTGGTTCTTGGTCCTTATCCAACTCAAAACCGCTGAGATGCAGGACTTGCAGCCTGCTTTTTCTGTGGGCTTCTATATCAGTGATTCTGGGAGAGGGACTCTGACTTGAGAGGGATTCAAGTCAGTCTGAAACTGCTGCCTTTCTCCTGCTTTGTCCCCTCCACCTTAAGAATTATTGCTAAAATGAGAATCTTTGCAGTTTATCGGAAGTATTTTTTTCAACTGTCCTTCTCCTGTTGGGTCATAACCAAAGCTTGCTCCTTAGAGAAGCAACAGGCTATCAGAAGCTGTTCCCGAGAAAGGAAGAGGGACAGGCACTTCACTTTAAATTTTGGCCCTAACTCCAACTATTTCTGTCTCTGTAATTAGGTTTTAAGCCCTTTGCAGATTAAAAACCAGGTCTTAGCCAATTTTTTAACTGCTTCAGTTTTAGCCTTTAACTTTTGAGAGGGTAGTTACTTAGTAAATGTTTATTGAAATTGAATACTGTTTTCCTTAAGGGAAAATTTTATTCCTTCATGAAGGGAAAATCTATCCCTTGCTATGAAAAAAAGTAAAAAGTTGCTTAAGCCACAAATTAAAGTGAAAGATATTGAATGTGTAGCTTAAAGCTAAGAAGCAACTTTGATCTCTGAATAATGATTTTAAAAAGATTAAAAGGGTTATTTAAAATAGGACCTAAAGGTTTAAGAGTATTCTTAAAAAAGGACCAAAGAATATGTCTAAATTTTCGTAGACTCCTGAAAATGGCAAATGCCGAGTACTAGGTGGGCGGTAGCTGACAGGGATTTTGCTGCTATGAATGTGCTGTGGGAATTTTGTGGCCAGAACTCTCCTCTGAGTGTGGATTATAATAGTTGCTCAAGTATGAAAACTGGGGAATGGTCAACTTAAAAGACATTTTCTTTTATGCAAATATACAGTGTTGTACATATACTCATACCTGGGGCAGGTAAGCTTTCTAGGTCTATTATCTGTAAAAGAGAATGACTATAATGATTTCACAAACTGAAGTAAGGATTAGATTGGCACAGAGCCTGAGAAATAGTGTGTATATACTAAATAAGTGGTTTTTATTCTTGCTTACAAATGAAACTCTGTGTGTTACAAATGTTTCAGTGTATTTGAAGTAGACTTACTAGGGCTACGTTATACATTCAACTACTTTGTATATTAGTTTGGTTTACGTATTTCTGTTACAGGGCAGGGAGAGGGGCCCAAACTCCCATACCTGCCTGCTCTAAATAGGTTCTGCCATCTGCCACATCAAAACAAAACATAGACTTTTTTTTTTTTTTTTAAAGATTTATTTTTACTTATTTATGCAAGCACTGGGTACAGTCAGAAGCGCGGGAGGGTGAGAGAATTCACCAGAGCCAGAGCGGGGAGCAGAGCAGGCAGAAGGACCGAAGTACACTGCTGACAAAACATAGACTTTTAATGGAAAGGAACTTTAATACAATTAGTGCGACTATAGAAAAGACAAAGAATATAGTTTCCAAATCAAACACCCAAAGTTACCCATCCCCTCGTGGGTAAAAGTCCAGCCAAACAGGGTTGGCTCAAAGAAAGGCCCGAAAGCCTGCCACAAGTCTAAAGCACCCTCTGGTGGGGACCCATAGAAAAGGGTCAGAATCAGTCAGACAAATCTGGGAGGACAAGAGCAAAACCAAGATAATAGCTGCCATTGTCAGCCTCCCCACAGGTCTCTCACCCACATCTGTTTAACCAGTCCAGGACCAAGAGGCAAGCACAGTTTCTTCACTTGTCTCTCTGCTCCATGTGCTTCCTCTAGGTCTCCTTCTTGCTCTCCATCCTGCTTCCTTTCTTCTGGAGTCTCCTCTCCAGCTTCTTCTCCTCCCTGCTCAGCTCCATTTTCCCTTGGGTGGGTCAGGGAACCTGAAATCTTCCCTGTTTCTGGGGACTACCCTGTTACATTTTTGCTGTGTCTGAAAATCGCTGTAAGGAAAAGTTCTTTAAAACCATGTAACTGGCCTGCTCCTGAGGTTCTGGAACCATAATACACTCATTATTGATACTTAACTCAGAGTTGAATGATACCAGCTCTTTCTATGCTGCTCAATTAATATTTGTCTGTTTTCTGAATATCGTCTGTTAGATAACCTAGAAGAATCATCACAACTTTCTCCATCAAAAAGAAATCATTTCTTTCCCAACATGACCTTAAAACAAATTTTCACTAATTGATGCTTCTATTGGTCTCCATTTAATGTCAACCTTGTGGTCCTTTGAACTTAATTTAATCAGTGATGTTCTCTCTGATATTTATAGGTCAATTTCCTTGGACTTGCATCATTACTGAATTCACTATATAAGGAGATTTACTTCTTATCTTTAAACAATTTTTCATAGTTTTTACACATGCCGTAACAAAAAAACTATAATTAGAAGTCATTAGCAATGATTAATTAATAGAAAATAAACATAGAGAAAATTTGTCCATTTATAAGACAAGACTTGTATACTTGTTGGAGTAAAACAGTGAAGTTATACCACTACCAGTGCCACCACTATCAATAGAAAACATTCAGTGAAGATAAAAATTACATGTGGAACTGTGTTAGGTGACATAACAAGAGATTCACAGTGACCAAGAATTATTTAAATAGAGTTGTTATAGAGTTGTTAGATTGACAGAATAAAGTAGATATCTACATACATATGGGCACTATAGTTTTCATTTTATGTAGGTACAGTATAAATGAAATGTTGGCATGTGAAAAAAGTCATGCAACTCAAGTAGAGATTAGAGATAAAGTTTAGGACTTCCATATCTTGTCAGAATAAAACATAATGATGACAATATCACAATGTTTTCTTAAGTTTGTCATGGGATAGAATATTTCAGTTTTGGAGGCCAATAAGACAAAACATCAAGGAGAATGATGACTGTCATTCTTTGGAGTAGGTTCTTCCAGATGACCCAGATTTTGGGGGAGTGTGGTACAAATACCTGAGACAAGCTAGTGCCTTGTGCTACATATCAGACTGTGCCAGACTCCTGTGACTGGATTTCAGTCCTGGAGGGGAACACTTATATTTAAAGCATGTAGCTCCAGGACAGTGTATGATCCCAGGGACAACAAAGAGGAATGCCAACACCAAAGATAACTAAGATGAGACTTGACTAAGTGATTTAGCACCAAATGTTACCTCAGAGAGGAATTACGAATTTCACCTGAACCATGTGAATTTTGCTTCCAAGTGCATGTGTTCATAACAAAGCCAGCAGGCATTTAAATAGGATTTTCAAGCTGACAGTTTATTTAGACTTTGTACTTAGCTTCAAGGGAAGTGCCTCAATTCACTCCTTTTGCAATTGAAAGGAAGTCTTTATAGTATGTCTTAAAGCAGGGTGAGGATTTATTTGTATTAAGATCTTAATTTGGCTAAAGGCTAAAAAGTTCTATGCCTTATATTCACTTTTCTGTTAGGAAACTGAGTAACAGAATATTTCATTGTAAAAATTAAGAGCTATATAACTAGTATTTCCAGAAGCCAAAAACTTATTTCTGTATTTAGATCTACATATTTACCGATTTCTGTTATCTGTATGTAATTGACGAATAGGCACACTCTCAGACACATTAATATCATAGAAAATAGAAGATGGCTTGTTTACTTGGAGTTAATAAGATTAAAAGTCATATAAAAATTAAACATGCACTCATACTTAAAAATAAAACTGCAATAAGTGAAGGTAAAGGCAATTATACTTTTTCTTCCACCCTAAGAAACAGACATAGTTGATCAAGACCCATCTGTTCATTCTTGTATTTCCTATTCTCCTTCCATGGTTAACCTCACTCTTGCAGCACACAGAACAATACTAGAACATTACAGAGAAGATTAGCATAGCCCTTGTGCAAAGATGACTCACAGATTTGTAAAGTTGCCATATTTTTGCATAATTACTTCTTGCTTTGGGTTCCCATAGCACATTGTATATACGTTAGCTGTCATCTTACAGTATTATAATTATTTGTTTACTTCTCTGTCCTTCTCATAAAAAAATCCTAAAAGAAGGAAATTATTCTTTGTAGCTATATTGGTTAGCACAGTGCCTTGCTTTAAAAAGCACCCAGAAAATGTTTTATGAATGAATGAAAGAATGAATAAAAGTTTATAGTCTATAAGTAAGAAACATGCAGTAATTCTTTGTTTATATCATGCTAACTACAAAATGAATTCTGAAATAGTTAATCCTTTTCTTCTCAATTTGTTTTTCTGATGACAGAAATTCTATTTTAGTGTGATGCCCAAATGCCCACCTCCTGGTGATAACTTGTGGGCACAACTCAGTTTGATGATAGACAGATGGACAAGCCTGCTGTTGTTCTTGGCTAAGACCACTTCTGTCTGCTCTCTTAGATGCAGCAAACATGCCTTTCTTCCCCTCTTCTTTTGCAGAACTGTACATATTTGCTCCTAATACTATCTTGCAATATTTGCCATATTAGAGACCATCAGCATATTCTGGAAGACAGATAGGCAGAAATATTTTCAGAGATGCAGCTATCTAATATCAAAAAAAGAAGACTTTATGGGAAAAAAGACCATGAAATGCCATTGTTCAATTGAAGAGGGATAAACCTTCCCTTTCTATCATAGTGGGGTTGATTAGAAATAAAGTTATAGAGTATTTTTAAAAATATACTATAGAAATAAAGTTATAAGAATAAGAAATAAAGAAATATAGTATATTTTTTGACAAAGAGATACAGGTTATGGTATTAGTTTGAAATCTTCGACTATATGACTGCTCAGAGTTGTAATTCATTCAAATTTTATATGTAATCACATACATAAATAGTAATTGCTTCAAATTATCAATATAAACTATAATTGCATAAAATAGCTCATCAAGAATATACAACAATTAAAAATAAGATCTGAGATGTAAATCCAGGAAGTCTAATTTCAGAGCTTATACTTTTGGGCTAGATAACAAATTTCTTGAAAAAACTGTCAGAGGTCCTTTACCTCCTTTGTCAGGTTTATTCCCAAGTATTTAAATTTTTTGGTGAGACTATAAATGGGGTAGCTTTCTTAATTTCTTCTTCTCCTACTTTATTATTTGTATATAAGAAGGCATCTGATTTTTGTAAGTTTATTTTGTGTCCTGCTACTTTGCTGAACTGGTTTATTGTTTCAGTTAGTTTTTCTGTGGAATCTTTGGGATTCTCTATAAACATAGATTTTTTTTAGTAAGAAAAAAAGGAACTCAGAGAAAGAAGTTTATTTAATTTATATCAAGGGTCACACATTTTTATGCTTTTTCCTCTGTTTTTCATGTAATCCTTAGAGTTATACTATAAAGTAAATCTTGTAATGATTATTTTATAAAAGAGAACTCTTGGATGCAAAGATAATGATTTACTTATGGTCAGAGCCAAGGAGTGACAAAACAGATTCTAAGTCAAGTACATCTAACTTTCAAATTTATTCTCTGCAGTTGACCCTTGAACAATAGAGGAGTTAGGGGAGAGCTGACACAAAGTCAAAAATTTGCTTATCACTTTTGACTCTTCTAAAATTTAACTACTAATAGTTGGCTATTGGCTGGAAGCCCTACTGATAACAGTCAATTAACACACATTTTTTTTAAAGATTGATTTATTTATACAAGAACAGGGGTCCAGTTGCGGGAGGGTGAGAGGATTCACCAGAAACAGAGCAGGGAACAGAACAGGTGGACTGAGGAAATACATTGCTGAGGGGAGCAACAGGTGCGACAGGAGAGGTCTGCAGTGCCATGTGGGATTCTCGCTGGCCGGCCGGGATGGAGCCCGTGCTGCAGAGGCATCGGACAGCTTCACAATGTGGTGCTCAACTGCCTGCACCACCAGGGAGGCCCAATTAACACACATTTTGTATGTTATACTTATTATGTACGATAAATTTACAATACAGTAATTTAGAAAAAAGAAAATATTATTAAGAAAATCATAAGCAAGAGAAAATAAGTTTATAGTACTGGACTATATTTACAGATACTGTAGGTTTATGTCATCTATTTCTAAGAAAATCCATATATAAGTGGACTGCACAGTTCAAACGCATGTTGTTCAAGGGTCCACTGTAGTTATAATATTGAGTTGGCCAGTATATAATAAGTTTTCAAGGAGTTAGGGGCTTTATTATGTAAATGGAAGTACTTTAAATGATTTTTTGTAATTCTGAATAGTGTCTTGGATAACAACTAAAAATAGATAGTTCTGCATAGTGAGCTGTGGTACTTATCCCTTTTCCAGATGAGTAAGTTGGCTACTTGGAAAAATGATTCCATAATGTGAATCAGGAGAAGCAATTTCCAAAAGTTTGGAATGACTGGGTCAGAGAAGAGAATGTTCTGAAACAGTGTTTTGCAGTAGAACCGCTGGTCTACTAACTAGAAGTCAAGATTGGCTATCCTGTTTGCCTAAAGGATCATTCCTGGGCCTGGGTTAGCATAATGAGGTCTCACCAGAACTCTTGGTGTCATTCATTGGCCCTACTCATGAGATACCACCGATTTTGACTGGTAGTGCCAATTGAAGTGAGAATCAGTTTAGCTGAGTCCCATTTGGATTGCTCCTTTGTGCATCCAAACCCTAGAAGAACTGCCTGACTGCTCTTTTTCTTGGAGTAGGGTAAGTTTATCCCATTATTTTTGTGACTGTTTCATCATTCTTTTCTCCCCCTGACTTTGTCCCCCATCTGGTAGCAAATTGTATACTCAAGAGATGAAGAAAGTTTGTGTGTATATGGTACTTTCAAATTTTATATATAATCACATACATAAATAGTATTTGCTTCAAATTATCAATATAAACTATAATTCATAAAATAGCTCATCTTACCCTTAAATATGTGTCAAGCTTATCATCTCTTTTCTGGTTTAAAAGGACAAGTTATAGGACTAACTACTTGTACCCTGAAACTAGGTAAAGGTAAAATGGATCAATTCTGGGAAGTAACAGAACTGCCAGGACTCATCTTGGTTTCTTTGGATGATGCAGACAGTGCCAGAGGCAATTTCTGTTAGATGATGTTTTTTTTTTCCCCAAAAGCATCTTCAATTATAGCATGTCTAAAAATGAAAGTAAATCAAGACAGAATTATCAATTGGCTAGGTAAAATTTGACAAGTCAGTTTCATTTTTGGTGAGTTATGAATGTGATTTAAGTATTTGGAAAATGTTTTAGAGAGAGGCTCTGGAAAAATTGTATTCTCTATGTCTTAATATCCATTGTGAGAAAATGGTCATTATTTATGTTAAAATAGATGTTTATTTCCCTCCATCTCTGCCTAATTTTTTCAACTATGCATGTTTTCCTATAATTTAAGTTTACTTATTTAGTTCTATTTAAATTAATGCTATGATTAAGAGAAAGGTCACCTTTAAAAAGTGGATTTGGTGGTATAAATTATTTCAAGCCTGAATTTGAGCCCAGTGTCTATTAATAAACACTATTTCCCTTTTCTTTTCCTAGGACAGTGGAATTAAAATAATCTGTTTTGTCTATTTCCAGTCATGACACTTTCTAGGCTTAGGTAAACGAACCCAACTTGAAAATAACAGACTAACCATCCCTGTCTATCATATAGCTCAAAGCTGTCATTTTTTTTTTGTTTCAACATTATATTCATGAGCATTAATATGAAAACTCTGTCAAAGGCTTTCTTCTTGTGTTTTGATTGCTTTAGAATGGAAATTTAAACACTGAATTTCATAAATGAATTAGGAGGGGCAGTGGAGAGAGTCCTGGAAGAGAAATTGAGAGGCTGGCTCTTGGTCTACTACCATGTATGTGCCTGTAAATTTCTTAGCATCATTTCTTTGCTTTTTAGAACCAAAATAGACTAGATTAGGATGGCAATTAGGTGTCCCTTTGTCTGTCAACTCTGATCAATTGATAATGAATGCTTAGAAGGCTATGTTAGGGATGAAGTTAAACGTTTCCAGGCACAGTTGACAGGAGGATTGGGGACAAGAAAGTCATTTATTTACCATCCCTGAACTTGACATTTTTGGGCTCATCTAGTCTTTTTTTTAAATTTATTTATTTATACAAGAACTGGGGTACAGTCAGAGGCATGGGAAGTTGAGAGAATTCACCAGATACACAGTGGGGAGCAGACAAGGCAGACGGACCGAAGACACTAGATAAACTATTTTAACTTATAGCCGAGGGGAGCAGCAGGCAAGGCAGGTTGAAGTCTGCTGTGCCATGTGGGTCGCTCCCTGGCCAGCTGGGAATCAAACCCGTGCTGCAGAGGCTGCGGACAGCTTCACAGTGTGGTGCTCGACCTGCTGTGCCACTGGGGAGGCCCATCTCAACAGTTTTAAAGGAAGAGGAAGAACTTGACCTGGTCTAAAAATGCACTGAAATTAGATAGAAGAGCTGTAGGGTAAAGAAAATATCAGGCTTTTCTGCCCTTCCGCCATCAGGATAGATGATGGATCCTTGTCCTGAATGCATGCCTGATGGCGGGCACCTGGAATAGGGTGTGGGCATAGGTAGATGGGATTCAGCTGAGCTAAGACTGTGCTTTTAAGGGCGGCGTCACGGGGGGACGCGAGCAGCCCCAGCCAGCAGCAGCAGAACCTGAAGGAGAAGCCGAAGCAGAAGCAGAGAACGCCAGAGAGCCCAGATAGAGTGAAGACTTGCTGGGGGCTGGGAGGCTGGCAGGCCTCCCAGCCCCCCAGCCAGCACCCCTGCCTGCCATATGCCTGGTGAACCCCAAATAAAAAACCTGCAAAACTACTGAGGACTCTGACTCCTCCTTTACCCGATCTGCATGGGATCAGAAAACCTGCACCGTGTCTGTTCCTGCCATTACAATTGGCGTATGTCGGCAAGATCCATGCAGACGGGTATTGGAGCCCTCCGAAGACCTGGAGGGACTAAGGAGAACAGAC